TGTGTGTGTGTGTGTGTGTGTGTGTGTGTGTGTGTCGGGGAGGTGCTGAACGAACAGCTCCTGCGGCTCATAAAAACACGCAGGGAGCTCCGGCGGCTCCGTCACAGCGACGCGCACGAGCCATGAGCCAGCCGAGCTCGTCGTCCTCCAGCCCCGCGCTGCCCCTCCGCCCGCGCCCCTGACGCACACCGGCTCCCAACCATGAAGCGGCAGAACGTGCGGACCCTCGCGCTCATCATCTGCACCTTCACCTACCTGATCGTCGGCGCCGCGATCTTCGACGTGCTGGAGTCGCAGGAGGAGATGAGCCAGAAGGAGCGGCTGGACGACCGGAAGAAGGACCTGCTCCGGATTTTCAACCTGTCCGCGGAGAATTTTACGCAGCTGGAGAAGGTGGTGCTGCAGCTGAAGCCGCACAAAGCCGGGGTGCAGTGGAAGTTCGCCGGCTCCTTTTACTTCGCCATCACGGTGATCACAACCATAGGTGAGTTCTGACCTGAAACTTTTACCTGCACTTAAACTTTGCTTCATCTTTAGCTTTGTTCAAAGACGTTAAAGAGGAAAAACTTTGGCCAACACATCAAAACATGAACAACATTAACAAATGTGGTACTATTATTTAAAGTTAGGACTATTTTATTTATGACTTGTAACATTTATGGTGAAAATATACATTTGACAATCAAACTGTCAAATTCTTTGTTTTCTGGAGATTTTATGACCCAGTGAGGTCCCAACCCCAGCTATGGGAACCATTGAGCTGTGGTGGGAAAAAAAACTTTTCCATGTCTGTTAAACAAAGTGCAGAAATACATGATCAAAAAAGTTCTTCACTACAGTGGTCTCTGAGTAATTTTATTGAAATAAAATGAGAGTCCAGTASAGTCTGGGGACACAGCCCCAGTAAAACATCTTTATACCTTTAGCAGAAACCAGATCCAAAACTGGTTTTTCTGACATGTAAGGAATGGTTCTTATCTGAGCAGCAAACATTCATAGTTTCAGTTAAAACTTGTTCTGTGGTCCTTAAACAGAGGAAAACACCTTAGAATGTGGTTATACTTAATATTTCATTGTCTCTTACACAGGGGCGTCACTAGGTGTTAAGGACAAGGGGGCCTTAGCCCCCAGGAGACGCACATCAGAACTTTTGTATATATTTGTATTTGTGTGTTTGTGTGTACATACATATTGTATTATCATTATTTCATCATCGTGCTTTATATAATATATTTTTATAGTGTATTAACAGTTAACTACTAAGAATATTTAAACAAGTTGAACTACGTATTCTTCTTATACATGTAGCTTTGATAGCTGTAGGTTTAGGGTTTCTAGTGAAAAAAAGTGTATAAAACAGTTTAGTTTTCAGTGAGTTACGGTTGATTAAAGAGGCTGATATTTAATTGAGAAAATGACTTTTCCAAGATGGCGGCCCCGCGGCTCGACAGCAGCATTAGCRGTCCGTCTATYTACTCTTTATGTTTATGGTTACTACCAGCAGTGATGATTAATWCTYWCTTTCTTGAAAAASTTTCGTATMTYCAYTTTTCACTGAGCATTCTCCTGGTCTGCTCACTGAGCATTCATGCTGCACTTTATCTGTGTGAAAACTTGCTAGCATGTTGCTATTAAGGTTGCAGGAAAAATGTGGACTGGATTTCCTGTGGTGTGGGAGTACTCTATATGAACAAGTGAAATTGATTGAATAACGACGCATCAAAGAGGATCTCTACCATACACAACAGATTTATGATCATATATTTTAGTTAATAATGAAATATTAAATGTTTTTTATTCTGACCACATCATATTGAATTTTTGTGAAATTTTTTAACACCAAAATAATTTAGCGGTGCTTTAAAATATTTCAGGGGGGCTCCAGCCCCCCTAAAATAGGCCTAGTGACGCCACTGCTCTTACATGTTCACGTTCCAAAAGTAAAATAAATAGTTCTGCAATCCAGTCGTGCAGAAAGTACAGGTGTTTGTGTGTGAGGTTTAAGCTGGAACAACGAGAAATGACATTTTTAAGGTGCTTTACTGGAAGCTCACATCAGCTGAAATGATTCAGAATAAATCATGACAGTAAGCATACATTTATAAATAAAACAAGAAAAAATTAAAATACATTCAAAACATAAAGTGACAATTTCATTTTCATTCACAGAGCTTTTTTTAAAAAAATTTTGCTATACATTGTTACTTTAAATGAAAAAAAGCAGATTTTATCCACTAGCTGAGGTTATATTGGATCTTTAGACATGCTGAAACAATGAAAATACATATTTTTTCACTTTTCATTATGCGTTTTATTAATTTCCAGTACTGAAATAGTCTAAATGTCGAAAGCATTCTTTCAGACATGGATCCTGCTCATCTGAAGGTCGTTAGGAAAGATGCTCGGGGAAACTTAAGGCCTCACTGGCTTGTTGTCTTGTGTTCCTTCAAGTTATTTCTGCTCCAGAAAAGAGCCTGCAACACAAGACTGTCTGCGAGTGTGAAATATCTGCTTTGGTTATTTGTCTTTCAGCTGCAGCTCAGTTCAACTCTGAGGATCCTTCCTGCAGTCGCAGCTCCGTGCTTTGTGTGACGATTTAAAGAACAGAAAAATGGTGTTGAAATGAGAGGGACATACTAGGTTTTCTTTCTGCAGCCTGCTTCTGCTGTAAATATTTGCAGTCATTCGAGGATCGAAGGAGACTTTTTCATTCTCATCACGTTTTATTGTATATTGTAGAGCACTGAGTCATACAATCTTTAAGCCAATCAGATGTAACTATTTCATGTTTTTGATCAGGTTTCAATTTGATAAATCATTATGAGTTTTCACCAATAACTGTCCTTTTAGTGCCGTTTTTAAAATGTATTATTTACCCCCACCCCAAAAAAAGGGTTAAAAACAAAATCAAACATTTTCTATATTTGCGTGACATTCTGGTGCAAACGTCTCCACATTAGAAGGTGTCTGATTGCTGCACAATTTCACCTCAAATGATGACGAATCGACGTCACGAAATGCTGACGAGAGGCAGGAAGTAAATGCAGCCCCGTTTCCTTCTGTTAACTCTGCATCAAAATTACTGACGTTCGACACTGACAATTTTCTTTCGGATACTGATACAAGTAAAATTTGGTTGGTATCTGCAATATTGATCCAATACTTCATGATAACACACATAATGTGTCTGGTAAATCTTAAAAATTAGTGTTTTTCAAATAACCGCTTTATAAATAATACATGACATTTATTTAATTTAAGAATCTTTCTAACCCTAATCTTATAATTGTTTAGCACAATTTAAAACTCTTATTCTAAAGAAATATAATAACTTTTTAATAGTGAATAAAAAGGAGAAAAATATTCTGAAAGTTGTTGCGTTGTATATTTTGTAGCATTGTTTGTGGGTTTGCAAGAAGGTCCCTGGCCAAAGCTGATGCTGTTTGGGGGGCCATGGCATGAAAAAGTTTGGGGACCCTTCATCTAGAATGTAATTACAAACAGTCAGAAGAAGCAGATTTTATGTTAAAATGACCTGCCATACATCTACAGACTGAGTGACTGAGCACATTACCCAAGCRRAAGAAAAAGTAGTTCCCTCCAACCACATATGTTTTAGACAAGATTTGAATAGTTTAGTTATTTCACATAATGTATATCATTAACAGAAAAATAGTGGAAAATAACTGAAGTATCAAAGTATAGATATTTTGATTTTAGTATCAATTCTAAAGCAGAAAGTTCTGGTATTGGTAGTATCAATATTTCATTATCGATCTGCACATCACTAGTCAAAATACCTAAATTCTGTGCCGTGTACGGTTGTTGCAACCACTTCAATCAGGAGACAGATAAGTATTTTTTGTGGTCCAAAAGTAGTGTGTCAGAAAAAAGATGACAAAAAYAGATCTRAAAACAGGAGGYGTGGAAATGGACAACAATCAAKGCAAGAGTTTGCAGGGACCACTTTCTAACAGGTGAGGATCGTATCGTTTAAGTCCTATTTTCAGATATTTTATTGGACAGTTATTTGGGTTTACAGAAGCTAAATAAATTATTCACAAGTAGATGCCAGCACGTAGAAACAACAGGGGTTATCTCATTGTTAGCATTAGCAACAGCATTGTTATCTTAGGTAAGGGCTGCCATGATTAGTCGATGACTAATAAACCTCTTAAAATAGTCAACAACTAATTTAATGGCCTATTAGTCTTTTTGTTTGTTTTTTACTACGTTTTTCTCTCCAAACTGCTTTGACAGCTTCCACTGCCACATCTGCCTTTCTGTCCTTGACACACATGCACAGTAGTGGTAACTGGGGTAGGCCGTGGACGTCACAAGACATTATACAGACAGGCTCTGGTATCATGGCTACCTGACAACAGAGCTCAAAGTGTGGGATYATTTTAAGAAAATGAAAGAGAAACCTGTGTAATATCTGCAGAGCAGAACTTACCTTCCACAGCTATTAGTTTTAGTTAGCATATAGCTAAAATCTAACCATGGTTATATAATAGCAGCTGCATTCTGGYGCGATAAGCTCTATGTTTTATATTCAATTAACGTATAATTCGATTAGTCGTCTAATCCAGAGATTCTTAACCTATGGGCCGTGGCCCACAATTGGGGCAAGATCTGCTGAAAAGAGAAAAGAAGGGTACCAGGAGAAAAACATTAAAAAGGAGACATGTCATCATCATCATCATCATCATCATCATCTGACCCAAACAGAATAAAAGATATCTCTGCACCAGGAGAAACTAAATTCTACTTTTCTGCCTCCTAGAGACTCTAAGTCCACAACAAAATGGATTTAATGGCTAAAAAAAGTGGATTTTACATGATCTGCCCTCTTTAAGAGGAGACCCAGAGGATATTAGATGTGAACCATGGATGGCAGGTGTGAAACGTGTGAAATGTGTGAAAGGTTTTCCAGCAGCTGGACATGTTTTCATACTTTGGTCAAATTCCAAATTACATCTGGACTCATTTGAGGGCAAATCAGAACTTTCCAACTGCATTTGAGCTGAATTCCAGCAGCAATACAATAAAAAAGAAATCTTGACAGCATTCCCAGTACATTTAAATGGTTTTAATGGCCTAACAGGTTTTGGCAGCGTTGAGGTGCATTCCAGCTTATCTGAGGCACATTCGGGACGTTCTGCACGGGTTTATAGTGCCCTTCCTGTTTCCCCTCGGACGACATCAGAATGCTGTTAGGATACGCTCTGAGTTCTTTTGGACATTTTTCCACTTGGACCACTTGAAAACAAGCAGAACATTCGAGCCGGCCACAAGAACGGGCCTGAAGGTTTGGAACGAGATGTGTGAACGCGCTTTGAAAATTCGAAATATTTCATTCCAGTGACATTCTGGCTCCTCCCACCTCTGTTGTGGCCAAGACTTCATGTTCAACACTTGCTGTTGTTTGGCTCCAGTAAGCAGATATCGCACCCGCTTCGGATGWTATCATCCATGAAATGG